CTACTACTACTACTACTGCTACTACTACTACTGCTACTACTACCGCTGCTGCTGCTACTACTATTGCTATCACCACTATTACTAGTTGCTCAATGTTAACGTAAAAATGTGCATCAACGCGAGCTAATTAGGACAGACATTAGGACAAGAATAAAAATTATAAAAAATTGTTGCTCAATAGCTAATTGCGAATTGTAAGGGCGCGCACATGCGATGCTCCCTACTCGTAATCACTGTTCCTCTGCTTCCAATGGCATTGTAAACGATCAACCTTTTCGCTGTTTACTTTGCGTAAAGGTATAATGCATCAGATTGGTTTTACTTTTAGTTTAATATTATTCATCCACATTACAATGTCTTATGCAATTTAAATTTATGCATATTTTTAAAAAATAAGAAAGCTCGTTCGTGATTTAATATGCAAGTTGATGTACGCATGATACATCGTGAATAAAATTGTAAAAGAAAGTTTGGAGGTGAATCCGAATCCTACGATATGTGGTAATTATTATTTTAATCATTAAGGATTAAATTCGTTAAATAATCTTACACTCCTTCGACGACAACGGCTACTCCTGCAGGTTGTATAGCCTTAGTCACTGCCTCGGCAATTTGCTTCGTTAGACGCTCCTGTACCTGCACTCGTCTACTGTAAATTTCGACAATTCTGCAAACAGCAAAGTAACAACAGATATTTACTTATTTGCTCACCGAATATATATATATATATATATATATATATATATATATAGGTATATGAGATTTTAGGGGTCTTTAGGGGTCTTTAGGGAGATTAGGAGGTCGAAATTAAAATTATATCAAGTGAAAATATACAAATATTATAATTATCAGTTGAAAGTCATATGTAAGTTTGCGTTCTTATTAAAAGAAATAAGTAATAAACTAACCTCGCCAATTTGCTTAGTCCTAGAATCTTCTTACAAGGCAAGTAACCAATGGAAACCTTTCCATAAAATGGTACGAGATGATGCTCGCACATGGAAAACATTTCGATGTCTTTGACAACCACCATTTCATCGTGGTCTTCGTCGAAGATTGCATCGTTAATAACATCTACAAGTGTCATAGCGCATAGTTTAAAATTTTTTATCGATGCTGCGGTACATTCTCAAATATAAAAAATTTAGAACATATAACGTATACATACGTACACGCACACGCACACGCACACACGCACACACACATACATATATAATGGTAGATTTATTAGCTACAATATATATAATCTAGTACGCAACATTTATCATGCGCGTTGTTTCGCGATTTATATCTAATAAATTTCACCCATAATTATAATATTAAAGATATTGACATACATTTTAAGCAAAATTTTAGAGCTTTAACCCGTTTTTAAAAAATTATGGTATTCTTCTTATCGCGAAAATTATCATGCGAATAGCGTATATGTTCTCGCGATAATATAGAGAAAGAGAAGATGAAAGAAAGGAATAAATGCAGTGTATCGGGGCAAATAAGGCTCGCTCGATCGTTTAATTAAAGTTTAGTGCATTAAGAGTCGGACCTTACAGTGTTAGTTTAACGATGCTCGTCTTCCGTTCAGAGAAATAATAAGGCCTGGCAAATACGATGGAAAAATAAACGGAATAATGCGTGGAGAAGGTGGGGGGGGGGGGA